AGGGGAAAGGGCACACGCCAGAGCTGTCCTTACATCGCATTGACCATCATCCTCCACGTCTGGTCAACGGAAGGGGGAAGGACAAAGGGGAAAGAAAACGTCCACACAAGAACGAAACCAATCCCGTGCCCCAGGGTCAATTCCGCCCCATAGCGGGCTGAGAGGACGGGGTAGAACTGCCCCCGTGGGCTTCCAAGACTGAGACTCTTCACAGGAGTAGAACGCCTCATCTTTCTCCCTCAGAGCGCCTGGTAGTTTTGAACTGCTGGCCTGTGGCTAGCAGCCCAGTGCGGATCTGTGTTGCCACCAGAGAAACGAAGGACGACCAGAGAGAAAGGGCTGGAGAGAGGAGATTCGCCAGGGACGGACAGGCCTGGGAGCCTCGCCGAAGGGTCTTCCACCTGAAGCTTCCGTTCTCCAGCCACAGGTGAACCTTTGGAAAGATCAGCAGGACCAAAGCACAGGAACACCAACTCCAGCATGCGGTCTGAGCCCAGTGGGAAAGCCCCGCACGTGGCCAGCAGCAAACCCCGGCCAATCCTCTGACACAAGGCTCCCTGGGGAAGCCACACGTGTGCCCCCATGCCAGGGCGATGGACGAGATCGGGTTACATTCGGACTTCGGGAAGGCAGGCACCCACCGGCCGCCGGGGACTGCCAGCTGGCCGGGAGCACGTTTCCAGAGCCCACGTGCCTCGCAGCCCTTGGGGGCGAGCTATTTCTTGTTTCTTTTATGCCTCGAGCTATTTCATCAACACCATGAGGAGCCCACGGGGCTCCGGGCCAGGAGAGAGATCCCTGGGCTCTGCTGCCTGAGGGTGAGGGAACACAGCCAGGGAGAGCCTGGCCCTGAGGGGATGTTCTGGAAGACACCACACCGCAAACCAGGGCCCTGACTCACCATGGCGTAGTAGTTGCTGTTGACCATCAGCGGTCCACGTCCTCGCAGGTAGATGTACTCCTCCCACCAGTCGCTCACCTGCGGGGCAGAGAGGAGAGAGAGGGCGGCTGAGAAGGCCCGGGCGGCAGGGTGGGCTGTGTGGGGACAGGCTCGAGGGGCTTTGCACCGGAGGCGTGAGGCGGTCCCTGGGTGCCTCCGGCAGTTTGCATCTGATACCGAGAGGTGGGGGAGCGTGGAAGCTGCCCAGCAGTGCCGCAGAAGGCAGGCCTGGCAGTCTGCTGCCAGGTGTGGGGGTATGTCCACCGCAGCACCACTCACAACAGGGGCAAGAAGGACGCCACTTAGATGCCCAGCAGCAGAGCAGTGGATCGGGACTCGGCGAGACTAGACTCGGACCAGCAGCTGTGAGTGCGGGACGGGAACCAGGCAGCGCTTCCTTCTGCTGCGCTTCAGAACCCTCTCAACCAGAACCAAGGGCCCAGCCAATTACAGCAGGGGCAGAGGGACCCCCTGCCACCGAGCCAGGGGGTCTTCAAGCCCCTCGTAGGTATGTGGAAGTGGGACGGTGGACAAGAAGACGGAAGAAAACTGGAAGCGTTTGAACTCTGGTGCCGGGGAAGAACGTAGAAAGCACCATGGACGGCAAAGGACGCACCAGTCTGTCTCGGAAGGAGCAAGGCCAGAGTGCTCCCTTGAGGCAAGGGTGGCACTTTCTCTCACAACCTTTAGACATATGGTCCGGAGAGACGAGTCCCTGAGAGGGACATCATGCTCGGTCAAGCAGAGGGGCAGCAAAAAAGAGGAAGGCCCCCCACGAGATGGACAGACACCGTGGCTGCGTTGCCAGGCTCAACGATGAGAACAATCGTGCAC